TATACACAATGCTTATTACCACAAAACACAGATCAAGTTTGATTTTTGGTGGCGTCACTTTTACCGTTCTAGAGAAATGCCCCTTTACAAATGGAAAAATTGCCGAATTTTTCGTTTCCGTTCTCTAATTTTAGTTTGCCTCAACCAAATGTTATAAAACTTATACACAATGCTTATTACCACAAAACACAGATCGAGTTTGGATTTTGGAGGCTTCACTTTTATTGTTCTAGAGTTATGCCCCTTTACAAATTGAAAAATTGCTGAATTTTTCGTTTCCGTTCTCTTACTTTAATTTGCCTCAACCAAATGTTATGAAACTTATACACAATGCTTATTATTACAAAACATAGATCAAGTTTGAATTTTGGTGGAGTCACTGTTATGCCCCTTTACAAATGGAAAAATTGCTGAATTTTTCGTTTCCGTTCTCTAATTTTAGTTTGCCTCAACCAAATGTTATGAAACTTATACACAATGCTTATTACCACAAAACACAGATCAAGTTTGAATTTTGGTGGCATCACTTTAACCGTTCTAGAGTTATGCCTCTTTATAAATGAAAAAATTGCCAAATTTTTATTTTCTTCTAGATATGAAGTAATTTTTGTCGAGCCTGCGACTTTTGTCTCAGAAAGCTCGACATAGGAATAGTGATCCGGCGGCGGCGACGGCGGCGTTAGCTAACTTCTAAAAAGCTTTAAATTTTAGAAGGTGGAAGACCTGGATGCTTCATAATTTGTATATGGATGCCTCATGTTACGAAGTTTCCGTCAGTCACATGTCCAATGTCCTTGACCTCATTTTCATGGTTCAGTGACTACTTGAAAAAAAAAGTTCAGATTTTTTGTAATGTTGAATTCTCTCTTATTATAAGTAGTAGGATAACTATATTTGGTATGTGCGTACCTTGCAAGTTCCTCATGCCCGTCAGACAGTTTTCACTTGACCTCGACCTCATTTCATGGATCAGTGAACAAGGTTAAGTTTTGGTGGTCAAGTCCATATCTCAGATACTATAAGCAATTGGTCTAGTATATTCAGTGTATAGAAGGACTGTAAGGTGTACATGTCCAACTGGCAGGTGTCATCTGACCTTGACCTCATTTTCATGGTTTAGTGGTCAAAGTTAAGTTTTTGAGTTTTGGTCTTTTTTTCTAATACTATATGCAATAGTTCAACTATATTTGGTGTATGGAAATATTTTATGATCTATATGTCAGTCACGCAGGTTTTATTTGACCTTGACCTCATTTTCAAGGTTCATTGCTCAGTGTTAAGTTTTTGTGGTTTTGTCTGTTTTTCTTAAACTATAAGCAATAGGTCAACTATATTTGTTGTATGGAAGAATTGTTAGCTGTACATGCCTGCCTAGCATGGTTCATCTGAACTTGACCTCATTTTCATGGTTCATTGGTCAATGTTTAGTTTACTTGGTTAATGTTAAGTTTATGTGACAGTTGTAATAAAGCTTTATATTTAGGACTATCAACATAATATCAATGATTTGTAAAGAAGGCGAGACATTTCAGCGTATGCACTCTTGTTATTAAAATTGGATTTATCTTCCTTTGTCTATGATTATAATTGAATCAACTACATTCAAGGCTTTATACAATGCAATGTTTAATTTTGACTTCCACTGATAAAACACAGATCAAGTTGAATTTGGGTAGTGTCACTTTAACCATTATTGAGTTATGCCCCTTTATAACTCAAAAGATTGCAAAATTTTTAGTTTCCATTCTGTAACTTAAGTTTTCCCCAACCAAACATTATGAAACCTATACACAATATTCATTACCACAAAACTAAGATCAAGTACAAATTTTTTGTTTCCGTTTTTTAGTGCCTCAACCAAATGATATGAAACTTATACACAATGCTTATTACTACATAATACAGATTAAGTACGGAATTTGATGGCAACACTTACCATTCTTGAGTTGTGTTCCTTTATAAACATAAAAATTGCTGAATTTTTCATTTCTGTTCTCTAACTTTATTTTTTTTTTCCCAACCAATTGTTATAAAACTTATACACAACCGTTCTAGAGTTATGCGTGTTTACAAATAGAAAAATTGCTGAATTTTAAATTTCTGTTCTCTAAAGTTAGCCTCAACCAAATTTTATGAGACTTGCACACAATGCTTATTACATTTGTACCACAAAACTCAGATCAAGTTCAAATTTGGGTAGCGTCACTTTTACCGTTCTTCAGTTATGTCCCTTTATAACTATATGATATGCAAGCGGGGGCATCATCTTTGTCCACATGTGGACACTATCCACATTTATTTTTATCTAATACTATATGAAATAGGTCAACTTTATTTTGGTGTATGGAAATATTTTATGATATACCTGTCAGTCTTCCAGGTTATATTTTTTATATGTTTTTGTCTGTTTTTCTTAAACTATAAGCAGTAGGTCAATATATAAATAACACAAAGCTGAGAGGGTGATAGAGCAGATTGTTACCACGAGAAAACATTGTCAACAGAGACGAAGCAAAGGTTGACTATGCTTTTTTGAGTGGTACCAATCTGCTCTGTCACCTTCTCAGCTATGTGTTATTTAATTTATTATACTGAATTTCCTATCATTATTGTCTTTTACAGTGTAATTTTCACTAACATAACGTTATGGGTATCAAAAAAATCAACAGAACTGAAGCAAGATGTTTTTTGTTTTTTCTGACAGTCAATGAAAAAAGTTCTGAGCCAAAACGTAGGACTTTAGCATTGCCTTTTTAAATAACTTGATGTTTATTCAATTCATTGTCCTTTAAATTATTGATTTTTGATTGGTCTGCACGAGAGGGTGACATTAAAAAAAATTGTCTCCCGCTCTGCCATGGGATAGAGTAATTTATCTCCCTCGTATTCGCTAATCCAAATCTGGCATTTTAACGTGAAGTATAATAACTATATGTATTTGTTGTATGGAAGGATTGTAAGGTGTATATGTCTGTCTGGCAGGTATCATCTGACCTTGACCTCATTTTCAGGGTCCATTGGTCAATTTTGAGTTTTCATGGTTAAGTTTGTTTCTCCGATACTATAAGCAATAGGTCAACTATATGTAATGCATAGATTCATTGTAAGGTGCACATGTCTGTCTGGCATGGTTCATCTGACCATGACCTCATTTAATGGTTCATTGGTCGATGTTTAGTTTTATCGGTTAAGTCTGTTTCTTAGAAACTATATTAAAGTAATAGGTCAATTATATTTGGTGTATTGAATGATTGTTAGGTGTACATGTGTTTGTTGTTTGGTTTATCTGACCTTGACCTCATTTTCTTGGATCATGTTAAGTTTATGTGATACTTGTAGTAAAGCTTTATATTTAGGACTATCAACATAAAATCAATGGTCAGTAAAGTGCACTCTTGTTTAATTTGCATGTTTTAGCTCACCTGGCACGAAGGGCCACGTGAGCTTTTCTCATCACTTGGCGTCCGTCGTCCGTCGTCATCGTCGTCGTCCGTCGTCGTTAGCTTTTTACAAAAATCTTCTCCTCTGAAACTATTTTGCCAAATTTAACAAAACTTAACCACAATCATCATTAGGGTATTTAGTTTAAAAAATGTGACCGATGACCCCGCCAACCAACCAAGATGGCCGCCATGGCTAAAAATAGAACATAGGAGTAAAATGTAGATTTTGGCTTATATCTCTGAAACCAAAGCATTTAGAGTAAATCTGACATAGGGTGAAACTGATTATCAGGTCAAGATCTATCTGCCCTGAAATTTTCAGACAAATCTGACAACCTGTTGTTGGGTTGCTGCCCCTGAATTGGTAATTTTAAGGAAATTTTGCAGTTTTTGGTTATTATCTTGAATATCATTATAGGTAGAGATAAACTGTAAACAGCAATAATGTTCAGCAAAGTAAGATCTACAAATAAGTTGTCATGACCAAAATTGTCAGTCGACCCCTTTAGGAGTTATTGCCCTTAATAGTCAATTTTTAACAATTTTTGTAAATTTGTGTAATCTTTTACAAAAATCTTCTTCTCTGAAACTACTGAGACATATTTTACCATACTTGGCCATAATCATTATTAAGGTATCTAGTTGAAAAAATTTGTCCGATGACCCCGCCTTCCAACCATCATGGCCAAACTTGGTTAAAAATAGAACATAGGGGTAAAATTCAGTTTTTGGTTTATATCTCTGAAACTAAAGCATTTAGAGCAAATCTGACAGGTGGCAAAAATGTTCATCAGATTTAGATTTATCTGCCCTGAAATTTTCAGACGAATCCGACAACCCATTGTTGGGTTGCTTCCCCTGAGTTAGTAATTTTACAAAAATTTTGCAGTTTTTTGTTATTATCTTAGATATCATGATTATAATATCTAATATCTAATACTATTAATTATGATTTTAACCTTATTTTACATGATTTCCAAAGCATCAGTAAATACAGGTGAGCGACACAGGCTCTTGAGAGCCTCTAGTTTTTTTAAAGAAATGCACTACGAAAAAAATGTGTTATTGGCCATAAATGATAATTAAAAAAGCAAGATAGCGATAAGAACAAACACAAAATCCAAGGGCTGTTCCACAAAATTTTTTAACAGGACGGCAACTGGAACTGGCCATTATTTGTACGGTTTGAAATGTTAGTTTGTATACGTTTTAATTGTATGCAGGTCTTTAGCATTATTACCCTTTTTTTAATATGCTTTCCTTCATCTATGTGTTAATGAAATAAACTGAAGAAAAAATACAACAATATAGTATATAGATATACACTGAAATAGTTGTCACTTTTTGACAGATAATCCAACTTAAAGGAAGACTATTTTCAACTGTTTAAATGAATGAGGTTGACAAAGTATTCAGCCATTTTTTTTTGAGTAACGGGTTAACAAAACAAAAGATAATGAAAAAATTAAAGTGCAGTATCAGAACTATGAAAAATGCAGAATGTATATATATTTTTTTTGTACTTCTTTTATGACAGATTTTGATTTTATTTTGTAGTATTCTTGCAATATTGGGTCAATTCCATCCTGACCTATTGTAAGGTTGTATATGCAGGCATTCCAAAGATCTTGTTTGTTGCCACTCACAAGGACAAAGTACCAAGGGTGAGTGATCTAATGCTAGCTATATAATAGTTAGTAATTGCTATTTGGAATACTTTAATAATGTGTACAAATTGCCCCATAAGAGCTCTTAGGCTTACATAATGATGTATGCTCATATGTCTTAACTTGACCAAAATGTTTTTGAAACTACACTTTTAAAAGAACAAGATTCCTATTCATTTGTGGGTAATAGACTAAAGATCAGATTACGGGGCTTATAAATAGAGTAGAAGATATGAAGAACCACTAATAGATAAGTAAATGATATTTGGTATGCCTTATATCAATATTCAATTTGATACATCTCATTTCCATGGAGATTAGTTAGCCCTGCCACTCTCATTCATGGTCTATTGACTAAGGGCATACGATACAGTTTTGATCCCATAATGAAATTTTGATGAAAATTTGCATATAGGCTATTTTTTACCTGATTAAACCAAATATGCAATAAAAAATATACCATCATGTGCAACTTTTTGAGGTTGAAATTTCAGATATTTTCTCAAAAATCAGATTTGTAAACGTATTTTTCCTTTCGACAGAAATACTTAATTTTTTTGTTTTAGAGAATAAAAACAAGCTGTTTTTGTCGAGCCTTCGACTTTTGTCGAAAATGCGAGACATAACGTTCCTACATTTCGTCGTCGTCGTCGGTGGCGTACACAAATTTTCACTCTGTGGTAAAAGTTTTTCAAATTTTATTAACTTTCTTAAACTATCCTGGATTTCTACCAAACTTGGACAGAAGCTTGTTTATGATCATAAGATAATATTCAAAAGTAAATTTTGTAAAAAAAAATTCCATTTTTTCCGTATTTTACTTATAAATGGACTTAGTTTTTCTGCCAGGAAACATTACATTCACTCTGTGGTTAAAGTTTTTGAAATTTTAATAACTTTCTTAAACTATCCTGGATTTCTACCAAACTTGGAAAGAAGCTTGTTTATGATCATAAGATAGTATCCAGAAGTAAATTTTGTAAAAAAAAAATCCATTTTTTCCGTATTTTACTTATAAATGGACTTAGTTTTTCTGCCAGGAAACATTACATTCACTCTGTGGTTAAAGTTTTTCAAATTTTAATAAATTCTTAAACTATCCTGGATTTGTACCAAACTTGGACAGAAGCTTGTTTATGATTAAAAGCTAGTATCTAGAATGAAATTTTGTTAAAATTTTGTTCCTTTTTTTCTGTATTTTACTTATAAATGGACTTAGTTTTTCTTCCAGTTAACATTACATACAGTCTGCAGTTTAAGTTTTTAAAACATTTATTAGATTCATAAACTATCCTGGATTTTTACCAAACTTGAACAGAAGCTACTTACAATCAAAAGATAGTATAGAGAGGTATATTTTTATTAATTATTTTTCTTCATTTTTTGTTGAGCCTGGGATTAACAGTATAAGTAGGCAAGACACTGGGTTCAGGGGAACCCTTACGAATTTTTTGTTAAATTATTTGTAATTTCTGTTTAATATAAATGTTCTATAAATTTGTACATTTTATTTTTACAAATAACTCATATTTATCAAATGTTCATGCATGTAAAAAAAAAAACTTCGTTTTTTGTCTCGCCTTGACGGAGTCAAAAAGCGAGACATAGGTATGCTGTTTCCGGCGTCGGCGGCGTCAACAATGTATTAGTTTGTGATTAGGTCTAGTTCATGGTGAACCACTAGTGGTAGGTCAATGATATTTGGTATGCAGTTGTATTAGCATTGGCACATCTCATAACCATGGAGATTTTTTGGCCCCGCTCCCTTAGTCAAGGTCTATTGACTTTGAAACTTTTCATAGTTTACATGTATTAGTTTGTGATAAGGTCTAGTTCATGGTGAACCACTAGTGGTAGGTCAATGATATTTGGTATGCAGTTGTATAAGCATTGGCATATCTCATTTCCCTGGAGATTATTTGGCTTCGCCCCCTTAGTCATGGTCTATAGACTTTGAAAATTTTGCTAAGTTAACATGTATTAGTTTGTGATTAGGTCAGTTCAAGGGGAACCATTAGTGGTAGGCCAATGTTAATTGGTGTTCAGTTGTATAAGCATTAGCACATCTCATTTCCATGGAGACTATTTGGCCCCGCCCCCTCAGTCATGGTCTATTTACTTTGAAACTTTTGCTTAGTTTACATGTATTAGTTTGTGATTAGATCAGTTTAAGATGAACTGCTAATGTTAAGTCAATGATATTTGGTATGCAAATTTATTGGCATTTGCAAGTATCGTTTCCATGGAGATTATATAGCCCCACCCCTGATCATGATTCATTGACTTTGAAACTTTTACATAGTTTACAAGTTAATGTTTGTGTTTAGGTTTGTTTAAAAGGAACGACTTATAATAAGTCAATGGTATTTGGTATGCAGTTATATTAGCATTGGCACATCTCATTCCATGGAGATTGTTTAGCCCTGTACCTTCAGTCATGGTTCATCGACTTTGAATATTTGCATAACTTACATGTTAAAGTATTACTATTTTAATTTCAATATTTGCATTATCAAAATTACAAAAAGGCGAGACATATCTCTGTGATAACAGTTTATTGCTGTATATTTATCAAATTTTAAATAATTGCACTATTGACTTTTTCATGAAAATTGGTACACATAATCTTCATACGTAATCAAACCAAATTTCATTTTAAAAAAGAATGGGTTCATTAACTCGTATTCAAGTTAAATCAGTTTGAATGATAAAAATCAGTTGAAAACTGCATCTTTTCCCGATAAGTCACAGTTTGACGTCGTGAAAATAACAATTTACATTAGCAACGTCATTACTTCCCCTGTAACTGTATCGTATGCCCTTAAAACAATTGTTCAGTTTAAATGTTAAAGATTTTTTTTAAGTCAGTTTAATTTCAACAAAAAGTTTGTGTATAAGAACTCTGTCATTTAGTTGTACTGCACCAGATGCACTTATCAGCAATTAATGTCTCTTCATTGATGTTACGAAACTTATGCACAATACTTATTAGCACAAAACTCAGATCAAGTCCAAATTTAGGTAGCGTCACTTTTACAGTTCTTGAGTTCTGTCCCTTTTTAGCGTTGGCATCATTTGTGTACCTTGGGCACATTCCCCATTTATTTATAACTGCAAATTTAAATCAAACAATATCTTAATTTTCACGCAAATACCAAAATTACTGGCTACTAGGCTTTTAATATCCTCTTGAACTGTTTTAGATTTATTGCCAATTTATTAAAATGTAATTTTTATGGCCCCGCAACAAAGCTGTCAGGGCCATATAAATTTACCCTTGTCCGTCATTCCGTCATTCCGCAACAAACCATTATACAGACTTTTTTTCTAAACGCCTTCAGATATTTGGCTGATTTTTGATATTTCAGTTAACCATGATGAGTTACAGATCAAGTTTAAGTTTCGTTCTGCTCCGCTAATTTTTGCCGAAATTACGGGCTTTGGACTTTGATAAATTGTTGAAAATCACAGTTATACAGACTTATTTTCTAAATGCCTTCAGATATTGGGCTGATTTTTGGTATGTGAGTTAATGATGAGTTACAGATCAAGTTTATGTTTCGTCCTGCTCTACTAATTTTTGCCGAAATTACGTGCTTTGGACTTTAATAAATTGTTGAAAATCACAGTTATATGGACTTTTTTTCTAAACGCCTTTAGAGATTGGGCTGATTTTTGGTATGTGAGTTAACCATGTTGAGTTACAGATCAAATTTAAGTTTCCTTCCGCTCTACTAATTTTTGCCGAAATTACGGGCTTTGGACTTTGATAAATTGTTGATAAATTGTTGAAAATCACAGTTATAGGGATTTTTTTCTAAACGCCTTCAGATATTGGGCTGATTTTTGGTATGTAAGTTAACCATGATGAGGTACAGATCAAGTTTATGTTTTGTTCCGCTACGCTAATTTTTTCCGAAATTACGGGCTTTGGACTTTGACAAATTGTTGAAAATCACAGTTATACGGACTTTTTTTGTAAACACCTTTAGATATTGGGCTGATTTTTGGTATTTGAGTTAACCATGATAAGTTTCAGATCAAGTTTAAGTTTTGTTCTACTCTGCTAATCTTTGCCGAAATTACATGCTTTGGACTTTGACAAATTGTTGAAAATCACAGTTATATGGTTTTTTTCTAAACACCTTTAGCTATTGGGCTGATTTTTGGTATGTGAGTTAACCATGTTGAGTTACAGATCAAGTGTAAGTTTCGTTCCACTCTGCTAATTTTTGCCAAAATTACGGGCTTTGGACTTTGATAAATTGTTGAAAATCACAGTTATAGGGACTTTTTTTCTAAATGCCTTTAGATATTGGGCTGATTTTTGGTATGTGAGACAACCATGATGAGTTACAGATCAAGTTTATGTTTCGTTCTGCTTTGCTGATTTTCATGTCGTTTTAACACATCTTGTTACATCTGCAGTACATCCACTTCCTGTTTGCTGATAGTTTGAAATTTAATTACTCATTGATCAAGGAAATTTTTCATCAAACTAGTATTGGTCTTGAGAGCTTGATACTATCCATGCATGTTTGTGTCCACATGTGTTGTTGAAAGTGCAGATTTTTCAACTTTTTTAGACGGGGCCATTCGTGTCGTTCATACACTAGTTTTTACTAGTGTTTCTAAATTATGTTTGTAAAATTGTGAATAACAAAAAAACATCAATAACAAGTTCTTCTCCAAAAAATATTCTAAAGACCCTACTATCACTTTATTCCCCTTGGAATGTAAGATTAAACAACTGTTAACAGTTTCGGAATGTTATCTTTAAAAGTATAACAGCTAGGTTAAAGGTGTAAATTGACCTGTAAGAGTAGATATATCTACTCTGAAAATTTGAGATAAATCTAATTATATTGTAGTTGGAATATTCCACCATTGAAGATGCTTATAGATCATGGTATGCAATGCATCCTTTTTACAGCCTCAAGTTTATTTATTTGGCAACTTTTTATGTTTTAATAGGAGAATGTTGAGACACGACGTGAAATGCTTCACAGTGGAATTGAGAAGTTGTTTAAAGACCACGAGGGACAACATCATCTGGTCCTTAGACCTCTAATATTTGTCAATGCAAAAAATCAAGACGACCCAGAAATAGAAGTTCTGAAGAAAACAATTACAGAACTTACATTCAACCACCCATGTTGGGGTGAAAGAATGCCCAATGCTTGTGTTCCACTAGAGCTGGAGATCGCTGAATTAGTGGCAGAAGGAAAACAAATTATGTCATTGGCTGAAGTTAAAGAATTAAATGCCATCAGCGAGGTGTCTGTCCTGTCTCCTGAGCAGCTAACAGATTTTTTACATTATCAACACTCTCTTGGAAAGATTGTTTATTTTGATACCCCACAGCTGAGAGATAATGTTATCATAAGCCCCCTTCTTATGGTGGAAGTAATGAGATCTTTCATTACAGGTGTGTATATATTTTCATTGAGTAGTGATGATATTGCTGGTAAAAAACAAACATACCAAAATATTGTTTACCAGCCATTTTTAAGAGCACTGGGGACTGTTGAACGGTGCCCTATACTAATCTTTTTGTTGGTTTGTCAGAACTTTTATGTAATATAGTTAGTCAAAATTGATCCTTTTATAATCACAGCGTTAATTTTTATGAAGTGCAGACAATTATTTTATTCTGTTGTGAAAAATTGGAAAACATGGCCGTTGTAACTTCTTTTTTGTAAAAACACAATTGCAAATTTTGAAGAAAAAAAAAAATTGTTAGTTTAAACTGAAACAGATATTTAATATGTATAAAGGTTTAGGTATAACTATAGAACTACATAGTTTCTTAATATAAAATATATTTAAACAATGCTAAAAAAACTTTGAGAATGCAAGTATTACTATCCTGGTTTTAATTAAGTACTTACACAAGTATTGTTGGCCAATGTCAAAAATGTAACTTTACTCACTTTCTAGTTGTATTGGGGAAAGAATCTGATCCTGAAATCTGAACCTTAACAATGGAACATAAATTCCTTGTAAAGTTAATATCATATTTGTCTGTTAGAAATACACTGCCTGTGATCGGCTATTGAACTATCATATACCATTTCTGTGAAATAAAACTAAAACTTTACCCAGCCAAAGGAATGGAATGTCTTATTTAGATCAAGTCAAAATCTATTAAAAATACGTTTGCACTAGAATACTAGTATACTAGTACTAGTAGTAGACTTTACCCCGAAAACAACTGAAAAAATGAACATAACATTAAGATCAAAGACAGCAATTGACTGACAAGATGTTGTCAGGGGTGACTAGTCTGCCATATATCATCTTTTGTTACTCTCAAGTGAATCTTGGCATATTATATTGAGGTTAATTTCATAATGTGAACACATCCGTCATCACTTGCATCATTGTTATACGATTGTTTTCTACCCAATATATGAATATTTACGAGAGTTGAAGTTTAAGGAGAACAACCATATATTGTTTTAAAACATATAGTTTTCATTGTGACGTTTTGTAGACCTTTGTTAAGATGATGAATTTGAGAACAAGGGATGAAATTCTTAAAAAACTTCTGATTGATGGCTCTGCTTTCTTTAAACATAATCTCCGCAGCAAAATAAAATTGCAAGAAAAACATGAGTGTATAAATTAAGATGGACGACCAACAGCTTTACAAATGTTAGGAAATACACTTATCTTAATATACCCAGTGTACTTTCTTCTTGTTTTCATTTTTATACGCCCGTTTACGGGACGTTTTATTGTATACTGTTGTCCGTCCGTCCGTCAACATGTCGGACATTAACTCAAGAACACTTTATCCAATTTGCATAAAACTTTAGGGAATTGTTTATGTCTATTGACGTGAGCTCCATTTCGTTTTTTATTAATTTTAGATTATACGTTTCCGAGTTATGGGGTTTTGTTCATTAACAAAAGGGGGATTTTCCAGTTTTCGGACAATAACTCAAAAATACTTTCAGCAGTTCTAATGAAACTGGTGAATTGTTTATATCTATTTATATTTTCTATAAGCTCCCTTTCGATTTTTATAAATTTCTGATATGACATTGAGAAGTTATTGAACTTTATTCTTTGAAAACGCGACGGGCGTATCATGCGCTCATGGCGCAGCTGTTTATTGCATTGTGTTGTCCTTCATTTTGTTTATGGTTGGTGATTTCCCTTAAGACATAAATAGAAGTAGCAAATTTTTCTTTAAACCATTAAATGACAAGTCTTTTTATACGACCGCAAAAACATTTTTGTGGTCGTATATTGGTATGACGTTGGCGTCGTCGTCTTCGAGCGTCATCGTTGTCGTCCGAAGACACATTAGTTTTCGCACTCTAACTTTAGTGCAAGTGAATGGATCTCAATGAAATTTCACCATAAGGTTCAATACCACAAAAGGAAGGTGGAGATTGATTTTGGGGATTATGGTACCCACAGTTAAGGAATAAGGGGCCAAAAAGGGGCCAAAAATAAGTTTTTTTGTAACTTTAAGACATAACTTGTGTGTAAGTGTATGGATCTCTCTGACATTGTACCACAAGGTTCCATATCACAAAGGGAATGCTGGGATTGATTTTGGGGGTAATTGCCTCCAAATTTTAGGAATTAGGGGCCAAAAAGGGGCAAAAAACAAGCATTTTTTCTTGTTTCATGACAATAACTTGTGTATAAGTGTATGGATCTCTCTGACATTGTATCACAAGGTTCCATTTCACAAAGGGAATGCTGGGATTGATTATGGGGGTAATTGCCTCCAAATTTTAGGAATTATGGGCCAAAAAGGGGCAAAAAACAAGCATTTTTCTAGTTTCATGACAATAACTTGTGTGTAAGTGTATGGATCTTTATGAAATTGTACTACAAGGTTCCATATCACAAAGGGAAAGCTGGAATTGAGTTTGGGGGTAATTGCCCAAAAAGTTTAGGTATAAGGGGCCAAAAAGGGGCCAAAAATAAGCATTTTTCTAGTTTCCAGACAATAACTTGTGTTCAAATGTATGGATCTCTCTGAAATTGTACTGCAAGCTTAAGGTACCATACCACAAAGGGGAGGATAGGATTGATTTTGGATGTAATTCCTTCAAAATTTTAGTAATTAGGGGCCATAAAAGGGCAAAAAAACAAGAATTTTTCTAGTTTCAGGACAATAACTTGTGTGTAAGTGTATGAATCTTTATGAAATTATACTACAAGGTTCCATATCACAAAGGGAAAGCTAGAATTGAGTTTGGGGGTAATTGCCCAAAAACTTTAGGAATAAGGGGACAAAAAGGGGCCAAAAATAAGCATTTTTCTAGTTTCCAGACAATAACTTTTGTTCAAATGTATGGATCTCTCTGAAATTGTAATGCAAGGTACCATACCATAAAGGGAAGGCTGGGATTGATTTTGGGTTAATTCCCTCAAAATTTTAGGAATTTTGGGCCAAAAAGGGGCCAAAAACAAGCATTTTTCTAGTTTCCAGACAATAACTTGTGTTCAAGTGTATGGATCTCTCTGAAATTGTACTTCAAGGTACCATAACACAAAGGGAAAGCTGGAATTGAGTTTGGGGGTGATGAATCATAAGGGGGTTTAAAAAATTTGGGGGGATTTTTTTTTCATTTTTATTCTTTAAAATTTTCCATTTTAAATTGGTTATTTCTGATTTATATATAAAAGCAAATAATAATGATATGGTTTGAATTGGTAAATTAAAAAAAATTAGGTTCTTAGACCACTTTCATTCTGTGTGAGAAACCTATGCTGTGTCAAATATTTAATTACAATCCAAATTCAGTGCTGTATCAAGCTTGAATGTTGTGTCCATACTTGCCCCAACTGTTCAGGGTTCGACCTCTGCGGTCGTATCAAGCTGCGCCCCAGCGGAGCATTTTATTAAATTGTAAAATGAAAAAAGATTTTTCGCACCTTTGGTCGGTTTAATAACCACTATCTGGCTTCAAATAAACAATCACTTACATTAAAACAATGATAATTAAACCCAAAAAAAAATCATTCAGAAAAATGCAAAAAGGCTGTTAGGGACTTCATAACTAAATAAATTCATTTTTCATCATGAGAAGGAGCAGTTGTAATCAACTTTGATTGAACAATACATTCAGACCACACTCCACCATTGTCATTTATGTTGCTCGTATAGAAAACATGTACACACATTATTAAAAACATATACATGCTTTTTTTGTGGTAATATTTTTCCAAATTGGAAAGTATTCAATTTTGATCTTTAAATGCTTTGAATACAGAATTAGGAAAAATAATTTGTTTTGAAATAGGACATTTAATTGAATTATCAAGACTAGTTTGTTTTCCTGTGCTGATCTAGGTGAGCCATTTAGAGAAGTATTACATTATAATATTAATATTTTTGACTTTTATTTCAAATCTTAAGATCTTTTTTTTTTATTTTCATTTTCATAGATGTTGAATTCTGGCCAAAAGAAGATAAAACATGGAAAACCTTCAAAAAGATGTCTATAAATGGAATGATACAAAAAGTAGACCTCTACCAGATATGGGAGCAAGAAGAATTCCGTCAGATTTTACCATTTAAAGAGTACATATTTGATATGCTGATACACCTAGATATCATATCTGAACAGCGTAGATATGATACAAAAACAGGAAGTCGTCTACCAATAGAAAACTTCTTTGTACCCTGTATGCTTACACAAAGAAACGATACAGATTTCTTGACACAAGAATGTACACCAGAGAGGACTTTTAGTTTGGCCTTTGTTTTCAAAGGAACCATCATACCTCCAGCCTTACCAAACCGTCTAATATGCGCATGTCTCAGTATGTGGACATTAAAACAATACCGTGGAAGGAAACTTATGTTTTCTGGGTTTGTTGGGTTATCATTTGATAAAGAGCATGATATTGTTGTCTGTGTAGAAGGAAACAAGATCTTATTGTACCTAGTCCACAAGCGCTCCAAGGGCCTGATAGTACCTGAGATAGCCACTAGTGTCAGAGAATGTTTGCATTTAACATTGGAGAGGATTTCAGAATTTTATCAGTCTACTGTCCACGAAAAAGTTAGCGGTCAACTCCCATTTCACACTGAGTATTCCTGCTCTAGATTTATCTGTTACATTCCAGGAGAAAGGTTAGCTTTAAAAACTGATGAGTGCGTTTGTAACCATGGTGACAACATTAAACGCAACTGGAAGGTTTGGAACCAGGAACAGGTTTGTATACTAACATTGAATATGCAAGTTATTTTGTAATCACTTAATTTCCCTAACCACAATAAAGAAATGTAGTTGAAGTCCAATCAACATAAAACTTAGTACACAAGTTCCCTATGATCTTTCTAATCCTAATGCCAACTTAGATTTTAGGGGGGGGGTTACCTTATTGTGTTTCATTTCAGCTCTCCGGCTTGCAGTTAGCTAATAAGTTATTTACAGAAAGATATGTCAATGTTAATCAATCGAATTTGGGTCATAGTTACTGTTTAGAGTTCAAATTGTTGTGTTTAGTATATGCTTTGTTATAATTAGTGTCTGTGCAGTTTATTGTGGATGTTGAATTTACAATTATATATTTTTTTTTTCCTTTAATAGAAACAAAAGCAGTGTGATCCGGATTGTACAGGTATAGTTATGTGTTTTGTATTTAACTTCGTGTTTTTTTATTGATACAATAATACCCAAAGAAGTTGATAATGAATTTTAACATGGGATCTCAGTGATACTTCATTATCTGACTGAACTAATCAGATCACTAAGGTGTCAACCCCCATGCATACCTTAGTTGTATATGATACAACATATTAGAATTTTGGATGTCAATGCTCTTTGGTTTCGTAATGAACTTCTGTTACTATTTAACTGTTGATTTCATTAGACACTGATTCATTCCAAGTTCGATTCCCCATTCACAGGTCAGCTACACATTTTCATTATACAGTGAGGTTTTTTTTTTTTTTAAATAGGAATGATATAAACAACTTTATTGTTTTTGGTCATAAAAAATCGAATTTGTGAAGAACTACCTGCTATGATCCCAACCAAAAATACTTTGAAGATGACATCAAACTGCTCATATGATCTTAAAAAGAAATACACTGAAAATAACATAAAAATGCTGAAAATATACATTGAGACTATGCCCTCAGAGGCTAAATTATATATATATGGAAAGGAATCAATAACACTTCCATTTGAACAGACTTTCGGTCGTCCTATTGGTTCTTAGTATATATATGCATCCCTATTGGCTGATCTGTTATTGTAATCATATGAAGTATAATTCATAGAACATTTTCAGAGACAAGAAGAAAATAATTTTGCAACATTGATTTATTTCATATTATATACATACCAAAATAGTCATTAAATGTGTCATTTAACCATATGTGACATTTTGACAGTGTGGATTCTCATTGCAGATGATGCATACATATTTACGCATAATACATTAGAGGGAAATTTAATGAAGTTTGTTTTCTCGTTAAAAACAGTCCTATTTATGAAATAACTTCTGCTTTAAATTAGAGACAATTGCTGATTACTGGTGTTGAATTTTTGAAACAAATCAAATCATAAGAAAATCTCTGGAACTCAAAGCGGAACAATACCAGATGTCAAAAGAGAAATCATTTCCTACTGTGCTTGCATAATCCACAAATCAAATGTGAATTCAGTTAAAATTTCACTATAGAATAGGAAGCAATCGGTAAATTACAGTTCAGAAGACATTTTGTATCTTAATATGTAATTCCATGAAAACAAGTCTTCTGTTTTTTTGTATCACAGACACATCATGCATATCGACCAATTTGTATTGGCGACTTAAACTTGTAATTTGTTAACCCTATTGTATTAGTTAAGAAAGAATAGTACCAGGAATGTCAGAGAAATGTTTCATTGAATATCATGGGGAGGGGGGCTATGTATACAGCGTTTTATTACAATTTGTGAAAAGTTCCGTTATTCAGTATAAGTATAATATTTTTATCTACTTTCATTTTATATCAAAACTCAGTTTTTATGAATAATGTAAGTAAATTAGTGGTATACTGAGAAGATCATTTGACTGCTGGATACAAATTATTGTCAAGTTTACCAATTGTCTATATTTGGGTTTCTCATTAAATTTTGTCAATATAATGCGGCTGTTAACAACTGTCAACTAAATGGGAGGTTTATCTTGCTATAAAAACAGGTTTAACTATTTTCTTAGGAAATCTGATAATTATCACTGTATAAATATGTCATGTGTTGTTAAAGCTGTATGTTTATGTAGGGTATGTGTAAAGATTTGTCATATATATTTGTTATATATTAATTTAAGGTTTGAGTGAAGATGCATTATCTCACATTCCAAGTAATACAGAGTTGCTTCGTTTGTCTGTTAATTGTGAGACACGCATGATACATGATTTAGCTATTCATCTTGAAATGGAAGAAAAAGAATGGAATGATATGGTAGAGAATTATCCAAGAAATACACAAATGGTCAAGTTTTTAACACTTATTGATTTGAGAGAGAACAATGGAATACGTTTTGGAGATTTGGCCAAAGGCTTAAGAGAAATGAGGATAACGACACATACCTTATGTATGGTAAGCTATGTATGATACTGATAAATTGCTCCTTTTCTTAATGTTTTTCTTTTGCTTTTCTTACCCTCCACCTCCATCCAGAAGGTTCTGGAGAAATGAGTCATATTCGCTCTTTGTGTTTCATTTTTCAAATAACTTATTTACATTATTATTTGTTAAGAATAACTTATGATTAAAAATAAATATTTGGTACGAAATTATAATTTTGAACGTAATTATATTTTCAATGCCACTTTGAAGCACAGATCCCTCAGGTAAATTTTCTTAGTAAAATTAGACATTTGATGATTTGAAAAAATGTCATTAAGGTATAGGTTATTTAAAAACATAATAATAAATGGAATTCAGACAGATGTACTGAGTTAATCCATACACTGTAATTCATAACAACACAGGACAAAGTCTGCAACTCGAAGAATACTATAAATGTAAATAGGAATGCCAACAACCTGTCACAAAACTTAATTGCAGAAATTTACAGATGAAGTCATGGAAAAAAATGAGTTTTTGTTCATTCCAGTACAGTTCAAGTCAGTTTATCTACCATTGTTCTTGTTATTTTACGGGTGATATTTTTTTATTACATGGATTCTAGCAATCTTTATGTCCTGAAGAAAAAGAGAAGGACAAAGTTTGCATAAATTACACCTCAAATCAAATGTATATGAATTTGTCCCTGATTTAAGATTGGATATATGTTCTTAAATAGAATAGTTTTAGTTTAAGTTATACCCTTTCCATGGATAATCTTTATCCAAAATAGACAATTAGTTTCAAGTCTTATTGCCTACTGTTCACTTTAAAAAAAATCTTTTTTGGTCAGGTTTTGGAATTAGAAAACTAACATGAACAGTAGTTTATAAATTTGATGAGGGAATAGTCAGTTAACACTTCCCTATTGTGTTATGCCTCAATATACAAATAAGGAAATGAGACAACTATCCACCAAATTTAAAATAAAGTTGATGTTAGCAATTATATGCGACCGTATGTATGGACTTCAATGTCAATAACAACTAATAAAAAAATCCAAGAACAACTATTTTAACCAAAGGTCATTTGATGTATGAATCTTCATCCCTTCATATAACTTATCGACATACTGTACATGAGTACCATGAGCATTATTTGATAACTCTTCCTCCAGATATCAACAACGGTTTAAAGCGAGGTTCCCTTTGTTCATAAGTCTTTAATTATGTAGATAATGGTTTGTATACTTGTTTTTTTTTTGTCATGTTTGGTTTTTGCCATGACTTGGTCATTTTATCATCGACTGATGAGTTTGGAATGTCTCTTTGGTTTCTTCTGTCTCTTTTGTCTATAAACAAAACAATAGTAGTTTTAACTATACAGAATCATTGGAACCACAAGTCACACTGTTTGTTTAGATATGTTTTAGCACATTTTCACAGAAATTTGGTAACTACTATTCTGGGTTGTTGTCATATGGTTTACAGGTCTTGTAAAGAGCGATCGTGTAAAGCCATATCATTAGTGGAAACTGTTCTGTTAGTGTCCATACAAGATTATACACTTGAAATACAGCAGGCAAAGAAAACCAGCTTTGGCACAATATAAGCATTTTGAAACATTTGCAAAAGCTTCCGATGCTCAGTCACTGCAACTATTTAATATCTGATATTATTCCTTTTCAGATGAGGAGGAGAAAACAAATGATATCTAGTAAGTACTAATTGGAACTATACAGATACTTACAATTGGCATACCTAGGGCCTTCAAATTATCTACTTGTCATGATAATTAGTGTGGTTTGTCATTACGTCGTCTGATCTTTTAATTACCGAACGTGACTTATTCCCGATTGTGACTGTTTTTCTGAGTGTGAAACCGCATTGCTATAAGACGTGTCACGGTACTTTTCTATCCCAAATTCATGTATTTAATTTTAATGTTATATTTGTTATTCTCGTCGGATTTTGTCAAATGTCTTAACGTCTTTTCTGTTATATTCGTGTGTTATGGTAAAGATAATTAATCACCCCCTTCCTTTATTAGATTTTAGTTTGGTTCAACGAAATTTATACGATATATTTGGTTTACAATTTGATTCAGAAGAAACACCGACATAGCTAGATAATACAATTATTTATCTAATTACTACCACAATTTGACATTAATAAGTATTGTAATTTTCATTGTTATTAACAAATGTAATGTCAGTATTACAAATCTAATCTTGAATCAATCCTAATCCTATATTATTTTTGGGAAATATTTTTACAAATTCAAATGTGACGTCACTTTGTGTGTTTTTTTTAGAATTTCAAATGTGACGTCACTTTGTGCGTTGAGGCTTTGGCTAACTCGGCTGTGTATTTGTATGTGTTGGATTAAGTTGTTTTATGTAATGTATCCGTTTTTATTCTGTAGTTAGTCCCCACTTCGGTTTTATCATGTATATCTATTATATAGTCATTTTATAAAATTTGCTGTTTGCAAAATTATAAATTATTCTAAATAATAAGGATGTTCTTGTCCAAGGCAGAAACCCCTGGCCGTGTTGGGTGCAACTTTTTGGAAGTTTTGGTCATCGGTGCTCTTCAGCTTTGTATTTGTTTTGGCTTTCAAACTTTTTTCATCTGAGCGTCACTGGTAAGTCTTGTGTGGAGGAGACGCACGTCTGGCGTATTGGATTTTAAACCTGGTGCCTTTTGTTAGCTATTATTCGTGTGTTTCTTTGTCCTATATGTTCTCCCATTTACTTGTATTGTAATCCTGTCATGTAATGATGTCATTTTAATGTTAGATTTAACATTGCCATAAAAGCGGGAGGTTTGGCATGCCACAAAACCAGGTTCAAACCACCATTTTTTTCTTAAAATGTCCTGTTCCAAGTCAGGAAAATGGTCATTGTTATATTATAGTTCGTTTCTGTGTGTGTTACATTTTAATGTTTTGTTTTTGTTGTGTCGTTGTTCTCCTCTTTTATTTGATGCGTTTCCCTCAGTTTTAGTTTGTAACCCGGATTTGTTTTTATCTCTATCGATTTATGAGTTTCGAACAGCGGTATACTACTGTTGCCTTTATTTTGGTATCCCCTCGTCTACCATATTCTAAAAACAAACATATTAAGCACATTGTCTGTTTGGTAGTCAAATCATAGTTCTATTGTCATTTGATGCAATATGCAAAAAGAAGAATGTCCACGTTTGAATAGTTACAATATCTTTTAATCAAGATATTCTAAATGTTCTATGAACCTTATTTTGAACACTTCATGTGGTATTAAATTCCCTTTTAGATCACCTGGCCCAATGGGCTAAGTGAGCTTTTCTCATCACTTGGTGTCCGTCGTCCATCGTATCCGTCATCCATCGTCCGTTAACTTTTACAAAAATCTTCTCCTCTGAAACTACTGGGCCAAATTGAACCAAACTTGTCCACAATCATCATTTGGGTATCTAGTTTAAAAAATGTTTCCAATGACCCGGCCAACCAACCAAGATGGCCACCAAAAAGTAGAGCATAGGGGTAAAATGTAGATTTTTTTATATCTCTGAAACCAAAGCATTTAGAGCAAATCTGACATGAAGTAAAATTGTTTATCAGGTCAAGATCTATCTGCCCTGAAATTTTCAAACAAATCGGACAACCCGTTGTTGGGTTGCTGCCCCGGAATTGGTAATTTTAAGGAAATTTTGCAGTTTTTTGTTATCATCTTGAATATTATTATAGATAGAGATAAACTGTAAACAACGATAATGTTCATAAAAGTAAGATCTACAAATAAGTAGACATGACCAAAATTTTACAAAAATCTTCTCCTCTGAAACAACTGAGACAAATCTTATCAAACTTGGTCACAATCATCATAAGGATATCTTGTTTAAAAAATATGTCCGATGACCCCGCATGCCAACCAACATGGCCGACATGGCTAAAAATAGAACAAAGGGGTAAAAAATGCAGTTTTTGGCTCATATCTCTCAAACTAAATTTAAAGCTTTCAGAGCAAATTTGACAATCATTAAAAATGTTCATCAGGTTAAGATCTATCTGTCCTGCAATTTTCAGACGAATCAGATAACCAGTTGTTGGGTTACTGCCCCTGAAGTAGTAATTTTATGGTAATTTTGCAGTTTTTGGTTATTATCTTGAATATTATTATAGATAGAGATAAACTATAAACAGCAATCATGTTCAACAAAGTAAGATCTACAAATAAGTCAACATGACCAAAATTGTCAATTGACCCCATAAGGAATTATTGCCCTTTAAAGTCAAATTTTAACAATTGTTCGTAAATTTTTGTAATCTTTTACAAAAGTCTTCTCATGAAACAACTGAGACAAATTTAACCAAACTTGGCCACAATCATCATTAGGGTATCTAGTTAAAAAAATATGTCTAATGACCATGCATGCCAACCAACATGGCAGACATGACTAAAAATAGAACATAGGGGAAAAATGCAGTTTTTGGCTTATATCTCTGAAACTAAAGCAAAAGTATAACGGTTGCATTATTTCATGCATCAATTGTAAATAAAAATATCAGGTGAGCGACACAGGCTCCTTGAAGACACTAGGTTAATTGCATTATTCTACATTCACTCTCCCCAGTATTTATTTCAAAAGAAATGAAAATCTTATAACTGTTACTAAAGTGTTATAATATCAATTCATTGGAATGGTACTTGAATACTCTACAACTTTGCATTTACTTTAGTTTTCCAACTTTAATAATGTAAGCCTTTCGATGTGCTTCCTATAGTCAAAAGTGTGTCTGGCGTACCAAACTATAAACCTTGTATTCTTGATCAGTTTTATTGAACTATTTATACCCAATGCTATTCATTTTTTTGGACTTTCTCTGTCTTTTCAATTGCTTTGCTTAGAGTGCCTCTGTAGAGTCTTATATTGATGAGAATCGTGTCATGAATACCAAAATATCAGTCATTTGTGAAGTTAAGATATTAGCATATGTTGGCTAGAGGATCATAATGTTGCCTTACCACCCTTTGAGAAGTCATGTTTTCTTTGAAACTTATTGTCCATTTTGGACCCAACTTTGTAAAAAGGTCATTGGTAAGCTGGTAACACATTTTTATATTTTTAGCATTGTTAATAAATTTTAAAAGCTTATGTTTGACTTCATGACATTTCTAAATTCTTAAGAGTTATAGGTAGTTGTAGTGAATAGGTCATCAGCATAAATTACATAACAAAAACAAAGTAAACAAAATGTAGTTTTCAGAAGTACCAGTGTCCGTAAATATTGTTAAGAAATTATTTAACCAAATGTTTTCCTAATTTCTACTTTTGAAAGCATAATTCATGTTTTTCTCTTAAAGGTATACCGAGGCACTCTAACCAAATGTTTTCCTAATTTCTACTTTTGAAAGCATAATTCATGTTTTTCCCTTAAAGGTATTCCAGACGATATCTTAGATTCGATTCCTTCTGATGAAATATTAGATAACATATCACCACATATTGGTAAAATGGTCTTTCAATTAGGAACAGAACTTGGATTGTCCATAGCAGACTTGGACAACATAGACAAATGTAATTGTGACTTGACCGACCAGAGTAAAGAAGTGTTATTTACGTGGAGGAGAGACCGATTAGTAAGACCTACAATACGTGTCCTTGAACAAGCTTTGGTAAATAGTCGAAAAGGTGCAAGGTGTTTAGAGGAGGTTGTAAAGAATGTGGATCCTAAAGCACTGAGAGCTGTAGAAACCGTTACAGGTAATTCTTTTTCAAAGTGGATCAAAATTGCAAATGTCTGATAGTCATTTGAAGAAGATAAAATATAGGATCAATTTAAATATAGAATATTTTCTGAACTTGCATTGAAAAATATGTTTAAGTTATTTTTAACTAAGAAGACAAAATCAAAAGATTAAAAACCATTTGTTTTTCTACAATTAAACCTACAACAAAAACAAAACATTTGAATTTAATAATCAATCGAATACCTTTAATATTTAAATGCTGTTTACAAGACCAAATTCAACAAAACTTTGGCTGAATGATTTATAGAATATCTAGTGTCAAGTTTTTATACGACTGCAAAAAATTTGCAGTTGTATATTGGTATCACGTTGTCGTCGTCCGAAGACACATTTGGTTTCCAGACAATAACTTTAGTTTAAGTAAATGGATCTCTATGAAATTTTACCATAAGATTCAATACCATAAAAGGAAGGTTGTGATTGATTTTGGGGGTTATGGTACCAACATTTAAGGAATTAGGGGCCAAAAACAAGCATTTTTCTAGTTACTGGACAATAATCTGATGTTCAGTAGTTGACGTTTGTTGATGTGGTTCATAAGTGTTTCTCGTTTCTCGTTTTTTATATAGATTAGACCGTTGGTTTTCCTGTATGAATGGTTTTACATTAGTATTCTTTGGGGCCCTTTATAGCTTGCCAAGGGTCCGTGTTGAAGACCGTACTTTGACCTATAATCGTTTACTTTTATGAATTTTGACTTGGATGGAGAGTTGTCTCATTGACACTCATTCCACATCTTATTATATCTACTAATAACTTGTGTATAAGTGTATGGATATCTCAGAAATTGTACTGCAAGGTTCCATATCACAAAGGGAAAGCTAGGAGTGAGTTTGGAGGTAAATGCCCCAAAGGATTAGGAATTATGGGCCAAAAACAAGCGTTTTTCTAGTTTCCAGACAATAACTTGCGTTAAAGTGTATGGATTTCTCTAAAATTGTACAAGAATATTCCATATCACAAAGGGAAGGCTGTGATTGAGTTTGGGGGTAAATGCCTCAAATGTTGAGGAATTAGGGGCCAAAAACAAGCATTTTTCTAGTTACTGGACAACAATCTGATGTTCAGTAGTTGTCGTTTGTTGATGTGGTTCATAAGTGTTTCTCGTTTCTCGTTTTTTATATAGAATAGACCGTTGGTTTTCCCGTTTGAATGGTTTTACACTAGTAATTTTGGGGCCCTTTATAGCTTACTGTTCGGTAATAGCCAAGGCTCTTTGTTGAAGACCGTTTCTTTGACTTATAATGGTTTACTTTTTATAAATTTTGACTTGGATGGAGAGTTGTCTCATTGGCACTCATACCACATCTTCTTACATCTACTAAATACTTGTGTATAAGTGTATGGATATCTCTGAAATTGTACTGCAAGGTTCCATATCACAAAGGAAAAGCTGGGAGTGAGTTTGGAGGTAAATGCCCCAAAGGTTTTGGAATTTAGGGGCCAAAAGGGGGCCAAAAAACAAGCATTTTTCTAGTTTCCAGACAATAACTTGCGTTAAAGTGTATGGATTTCTCTAAAATTGAACAAAGCTTCCAAAACGGTCATATATTCCGGACATTTGTATAATGTCCGGTAAAAGTCCGGCTGGGCAAAGCATGAAACGGTTATCTACTTTTTAGTTTTCAAGGCTTTCTTAAGAGACGGTCATTTTAACCTAATTCGCGATCTTTTTGACCCAACCTTTTGCCTTTAACAGCCACACATTTCCGGTCATAAAAGTGACATGATCATTAAGTACTATCAAAACAACCCCTACTTTAATACCTTCTCATTTTAATCAAGGCTAACTAGTTGTCGAACAGCTGAAATTTACCTGTTCAGGTGACAGGTAAACTATTTTGAACCGGACATTGATCGGTCTATTCAAAGTTATTTTCTTACATTTCAGCGGTTTGCATCTAACTAATTTAGTCAAAAAGATTTAAATTATCAGAAATATGTTTACAAATATGATTTGATGAAAAAATTAAAAAGGTGAAAATGAAAAATCGTCATAACCACATTGTTTGATCAGAGACATGTCTCTGTTTGAACTAGTACACGTGTGCGCATGTGCGCAGGTGTGAAATTTAATTATGCATCCTAATTTTCTCAAAAAATGCTTAAATTGTCATTGATACCTTTCTCTCACGTTTATTTCGAAATATTTTCTTAAAGAAACAAGTGTGGACACAGATGAATGTGGATAGTATGTTTGGATGTTTGACAGTGTTTTATATGACAAAAGGAGTTCTATGTTTTTCCTATATGGTGTTATTAACTGTGTTGCACGATGACAACCAACCTGAGCATGAGGAGTGTTGTTTATTTAATATTTAGATTTTATGTTGAAGAGGGCATGGAAGAGATACTAATTGCATAAATGACCAAATGATTATGATAGAATATTTTCCACATCTTTGATTTTGGATACATTTTGTAGCTAGGAGAGCAACACATAATAGGTTCCTTTTTTCATGTGATTTTTTTTTAAATGGGAGATGATATCTGAGAACATGATATCAGGAGGCTGTAATTCAGTGGTTGTCGTTTGTCTAATGTGTTACATAATATTTGTTTTTCGTTTATTGTGTGTACATAAATAACATAAATGACTATGCGTTATGGGCTTTGCTCATTGTTGAAGGCTGTACGGTGACCCGTAGTTGTTAATTTCTGTGTCATTTTGGTCTGTTGTGGAGAATTGTCTCATTGGCAATCATACCACATCTTTTTTATATGTATTTGCTCACTATTTGTATGGTTCTATTTATATTACTTTGTGGTGGATTGTCAGTATCATTAGTAAAATATTTTGTTAAAATGTCGAAATTGTTTCTCAGATTAGAAGACATTTATTGGTTTTTAGTAATAAAAATGCCTGACATGATGCTTGGGGCAAGATGAGCTAGAAAGAAAACTTCTGTGTTGTTTTTTTTATCAATTCTTTGATAACATCTCCTCCAAAGCTGGCCGAAGCAAAAAAAAGTTTTGACCAATATGAAAACGATATCAACAAAAAAACCTTTGTGAGCATGCTTCAAAGACTCATAACTGCTCCAAAAGTAATCTGATAGAATTTCAGGCATGTCAAGTGGGTATTATGAAAATCTACTTAATATGTCTAAATATCAAAAAAGGTTCTAGTATTCAATATGAAAAAGGTATTGCAAAATTATTCTCTTTTCAATTTTTTTTGTTATATGGATACAAATATAAGTGATACCAATACAGTATTTGTTGTGGTATGAAAGTGTAGTAATTAACATTTACTGTAACAATGTTAATTCACACAAATTAAGAAATAAACAAATGAATGAAAAATGTTGAACATGTACAATGAAATATAGTTTTAGAAATCAATTAGGCCAGATAGGCCTTATAATTTTTTTTTTTTTTAACATACTGAATGACCATTTACACTCAGGACCGAGTCATCAGTAGGCAGTACAGATGTATTAAAACAACCTAGCATCATATTGCTAGTAGCGAGTGTAGCATTGTCGGGTAAATTTGTTCTTTTTTTAAAATTTGGTTAAAGGACAAAAAATGTTTGGTTCAAATCATAATAAAATGCTTTTATCTCCTTATTACTTACAGTGTAGTGAAATTGTACATAGAATGGATACTACCCTGACAAATCCTTGTACATGAGAGTTGTCTTCACAAAGAATGAATTGCATAACAATGAACTGAGCTCAAAGCAAAGCACTTTAATAATACACTTAGACAAAGAGCTCAATCCAGTGATATACTTTGTACTACAGGTCCTTCATGAACATCCTATCCACCAAAACTATATCTCAAAAACATGCCATACTACATGTACATGGTTCGATCAGAAGTCCTGAAAAAGATATGAATTTTATTATCATATTTTAATTATATATACACAGGTTAAAAGTTATATACTCCAATGGCAGTCTTTCCTGCTAAAATGTCATGTGTAGAATGTGATATACCATTTTTGGGTCTATATGGGTACTGTCCTTTATATTCATTAGGTCATTTTGACACAGCAAAATATATAGAAAATGTTAACTTTGATCTTGAAATTGAGTTCTTTTTTGCAAAATAAACCTACTAAAACTAAACTTTGAATGCAAAAGACCCCTAAATGGCTAACAGATATTGCTATAAAGAATAGTCCATGATGATTATTGTTATTCAAGAGTTCATGAAATGTACACCGATTCTGTCAGTTGAATGGACTAGAATGAGATAAGTTATATAAACATAAAGGTTTTTTCAACAGTTGTGGTGTAAATTAAATCAGTTTTATTTTATGGTTGACATATTCAAGTATATATGTAGATCATTGGCTTTTCAACACATTGATATTTTACAATATCGATTATCTATATTTATTGTTATATTGTTGGTATTTTTCACCTTCCTCAAACAGTTTTAATGCAACATGAATGCAAGCTTAATAGATCTTGATAGGGTGTCCTCACATATTTTGACGTTGCTGAAAAATTTTGGTTGACATATGTATCCTCTTCTCATCGTTTTTCGTGCTATTAAGAATGCATACTGTCGTCACAATTTCCATTGAAAAGGCATGCATAGTACAAATTCATATGACGTACGAAAACATATGATCTGACCATATACATGTACATGTATGTATAGGTTATCAGCTTTTCTACACATATTGGCCAGTAAGCCACAATGAACCTATTATGGCGAGTGAGCGCAGCTAATGAGCTAAAATGAATCAAATTGTGTCCTCAGTGGGGGATATTTTAAGGGATCTATATGAAGAAAACCTGATCATCTGTTTATCGTTCTATTACTGGCTTTTTCACCTCCCTAACTTGGCCTAAGACAGTTTTTACAGACGATAGAGCTTGATAACTACTCCTCACACACATGACATATAGATTATCGGCTTTCCTACATGAGTCATGAATATCGTAAAATGTTAGCCAGTGAGCAGGCCCGCAATGAACCTTTTTAGCGAGTGAG